CATTCAAGTCTAATTTATTCTTAAAATGGCTACAACATATATAGCATGGACGCGGGCCAATGGGGCAGGAAGAGGGCACGGAGTGTTATCTGATAGGTCATCATCACATCCGGATATATGACCTAAGCAGGAGAGGATTATGGGAGATGTAGGCTAAAGCGGGAAGTTGCTCACGTCATATGCATTGCAGGCAAGGGGAGGATCACGGGAAATGTAGGCTGACACACAAAATGCCCTCAGATGGGAGGGGCAGGGCAGCAGCAGCCATTCTGAGCCACTCCCTACACTTTATTTCATTAAATACTTCTTTTTTAAACTCCTCTATGAGGCTCTGGAGATATCACTTTATGTCTATTGGTGCTGTGTCTGATATTGCATGTTTTCTGTCTTCCTTTGTGTTTCCCTTTCCTGGATCAGTGTTCTCAGGTTTGGGGACTGAGGACACTTTCTTGTTGCTTCCTCTTTCCATACTTTTTGTTTGTTCCATACAAGCGAATTTAGGAGGTCCAATTTTTTCTCTTTTTTGGTTACAGTTTGTTTGAATTGTGCCGGCTAGGTGTTCCTGCCTAATGCTGTGTACTAGGGAGACACAGACCTGGGCAGCCTCTGCTGGGCCTGCTCCACCAGGTCAACCTACCAAAGGCTTCACTGCTAGAGTGCAGCTCCAAACACTAGGACCTGGTTTGGGCTAGCCTACTGGGTCTTAGTCAGTGGCGTCACGGAGGCCAGGCCCTCCCCACCAATCCCACTTGAGAGGGGAATATGCGATTAATGTCACTGCAGTGCCCTGTTCTGGCAAGTCTGCCCCATCCCAGTATGTCCTTTGCTGGAGCCTCTTACTTTATGAAAGGGTCCCCGTTCCACTGACTCGCCACAAGTCGATGTAGGGCTCCCTGCTAGTCCCAGTCTCAACTCTGTTCACAGATTCCCACTCTCAGAGCTTTTGTGCATCTCTCTCCCTGCCCTGCAGATTTGGACACAGCAGCAATTTTAATCGCGGCTTCCAGTGGTGTGGGTTCTAGCTTCCATGATGAGATTTTATCTGCTCCTGTTATAGCACCAGCATTGGATTTCCAGTTGGTTTCTCTTAGCTTAGTTCATTCCTTGGTCTGCAGGGTTTTTTCCCCTTGCTTAGGACTCCTCGTCCCACACAATTCCTGGATTTTAAGTGGGGTATCTCAGAGAGCTTCTGTAGCTGCTGCTATCTATCCAGCATGTTCTTAGGGAAGTCTTTCATGTCCTTGTAAGGTTTTGCAGTAGATCTTTTTTTTAATCGCTAGTATCAAAGCTTCTGTATATAAATTTTGTTCTTCAGGGATGTCTTATGTGCATAGAATTTTCTTGTTTTGTGTATGTCCCAAAATCCTATTTTTCAAATAATTAACAGTGAGTTATTTTTTAATATCCCTTTAACTCAGTTCTCAGTCCTTTGGTGCTGGGCTGTAAGGAAGTCATTACCCAAGAAGGTCTCAATATTATTATTACATAAGTTAGAATAACTGACTAAAATGGATAGCACATCCTAGCTAAAGTAGTACAATTAACAATGACAATAGTATGAAGCACAATTCAGAACCTGAGAAATTGTGATAGATATTGATTTTCATATCTTTAACCAGCTGAACAAAATCTACAATTATAGATCACAGTGGTGGGGAGCCTAGGCATGAACCAAGAAAGGGCTCATTCGTCACCTGCATCTCCTATGTTCTATCTCCTCAGAAGTCTGTCTTCATTGGCTTCTGCCATTCCAATGCTGGTGAACTTTGTGGTGGCACAGAATCCCAACTCCTAGGCTGAGTATGTGACTCAACATTTTTTTTTTTAATTTTCAGGATGTGGTGTCTCATAATGTCACACTCACTGCAATGGGTAGGATGGCTGCTTTCTTCTCTGTTACCCTGGTTTTACAATGTCACAATGTTTTTTCAAGTCTGTCTTCAGATGGTAGCTTGGTGTACAGCATGGGATTGAGTGGTGCATTCTATGCTGAGTACTTTTCTGCAAGACTCATGTAATAATTTTTTCTCTGACTATCACACTACACTACACTAGAGCTCTCCTGCTCTAGAACTGTTATCAATGAGGTAGTTCTGTTATTAAGTTCTCTTAATATTTTTCTACCAACCCTGATTATGCTTTCATCCTATATCTTCATCATAGACAGCAACCTGCACATTTACTGACCTGCAGACATGTCCAAAGTCTTAAGCACTTGAAGCTTCCACATCTCAACAGTTTCTATCTATTTTGTTCTCTAGCCTCATGTACCTGCTTCACACATCATCTCCATGGGCCAAAAGAAAGTGTGCTTTGTGTTTCATATCCTTATTGTTCCCATGCTGCTCTGCATGATCTACATTCTGTGGAATAAGGATATTAATATTGTGATCAAAAAGTTCCTATAAAAAAGAAGTTTCTTGTTAAAAGTGTATATAGAAAAAATTATGTGTGTGCAATGCAAATAATGCAGAGAAACAAATATAGGCTCACAAATCATGAGATCAGTGGTAGAGTCCATTTAAGAAAAACATATATAGATTAAGCTTGGATTCCTAGGATGAGACAGATGGAAGATAGCACTTCTTTGAGATATTCCCAGTTCCATCCTGTCAGAGAAACCTGAATCACATCTATTCATTATAAATCATCCTCAGATACTCTATGATTTATTATGCTTTACATATATGAAATATTACACTGGATAGGCCAGTATAATTTACCTTTATTAATTCAGTAAATATATTTATGGAAGGATTTGTACTGAGCCAAATAGATACTAACATCTCACCCTTAATAAAAGGGAAATTTTGAGATTTTGAGACAGACACAAATCCAAGAATGTGCTACAAACAGATGACATCCCTGAGCAGCAGACATTTCCCAGGGAGGACTCGATACTAATAATAAAGTTTCCTACCACAAAATCTTACAAGAATCAACACAGAAAACAAAACAAAATTTTAAAAAGACAAAATGACAAGACCCATAACTAAAAAGCAACCTCAGAAATCCAGCCCACTGAGCACAAAGACAGGAGAAAATGGGATAGAGGAAAATAGAAGAAACAAATCTTAAATGTCTGAAATGATAACAACCAAAGAAAAGAAACAAATTCATGAGGATATAGAGGAAATCAGACAGAAATAATCTCTCAGGTGAAAAAGAAATGACCACCATAATGATAGAATTGCTCAGGAAATCTAGAGTAGACTAGATTTAAATAAAATAGAGAATCTAGGAAAGTGATGGAAACCATAAACTTTCAACATAAGAAAGTAATAGAATACATCAAACAGATTCAAGTAGATATTGAAGAAATTAAAAGTTCTATCGAGAATTTGCAAAAGTACATGAAAAATGCTGAAGATACCTATCAAATTTTGAAGACAAGATTGCATTTAGTGATCACAAAAAAAAGTTCTCTAAAAAGAACAAGGAATCATGGAAAAACAATTTACCAGCTGCAAAATAATTCAAAGAAACATAATATGAGATTGTTTGGCATCATTGTAAATGGTGGAGTCAAAATAAATGACATAAAAAAATCTTTTTGCAGAATCAAGAGCAGAAAATTTCCAAGCATGAGAACAGAATCTGACAGGTTAATAAGTCAGGCATATGGATCAAAATAAACCTACGCCAGGACATATAATAATAAAGATTCCAGGAATTAAGTCAAAGAGCACAATATTAACAGCTATAAGAGAAAAGCAACTAATCATCTATAAAGGAAAGCTCTATAAAACCATAGGTGAATTCTCAGTACAAACCATGGAGTCAAGAAGAACATGTAGTGAAGTATTTCAAATTCTGAAGAAAAGCATCTTCCAATCAAGACTGACATATCCTAAGACTATATATCAAAATTTATTTAGAAATAAGACACTTCCATGGAAAGAACAACTGAAGAAATTCATGACCATTAAACCAACTCTATAAATGGACTGAAAGATATTCTAAAAAACAAATGATGACAATTCCAAGAACACCAATTTTGGAAATTCTTTGTATACAAGAAACACATCTAATGGAAACATATATTCATAGACTGAAAATCAAAGTGGAATTTTACAATGAACGTGGATAATGTGAACAAATAGTGTTTTCTTTCATTTTGCTGTCACACAAAGAAATTGCTTTCCAAAAGAAAATACTGTTAATTAGCGTTATCAGAGACCATCCAGATGTCACAAGTGAAACTTCAGGCAAAAACATTTCTAAAATTCTGTACTAGTCACTAATAAGTTTGTCCGTGCACTCGCTACACACATAAGCACACATATGTTGTCTTAAACCAGATGATTTTTGGGTGGTTTTGTCTCATCATAGACAGATTCCTTTGAGTAACAGCTCTTAGTCTTCCTGTGTTCACTATAAACTAACGGTTCAGGATCCATCCTTTATCTCATGTGCTTTCTGTTACTCAGAAGTGCACGGAGGAAAAGAGAATGCTCCTAACTTGAAGAACAGTGACCGACAGTAATAGACCTCATCTCCAGCTCTATGTCTTTGAGAAGGACCAAGCTACATAGAGAAACATACAAGCAAGAATAATTGACAGTTCTGTGGAGATCCTGAAGCAATTTTTATAAATTAAGTAGGACTCAGAACATTTTTAATATTTATTTATTTTACTGAAGAATGAAGAAATAATGAATGCTGGGAATAACTCATGGTTTCTTATGCATTTTTACAATTTTTACATGTTTTCTGACTTCAAAGTTAAATTGCTAATGTAAATATTTCCAACTGTTAGAATGATTACTATATTTCTAAAGTTTAGCATTTGAATTAGTATTGCATGGAGGAAGTTTAACTGTGTTCAGTGCGAATCAATACAGTATTGAATGCATCAAGAAAGTGTGTAATATTAACTGTTGAGATGCACCAGGAGGGTGCTTGTCATTCTGGATGCAGTGGTCCTGTAACACCTTCATTCCTCTCAGCTCATTCCTGGGAACTTGCCAGCAGTCTTTTTTTTTTTTTTTTTTTTTTAATATCAGACAGGTAAGGTCCCGAGGTCATAACAAGGTTGAAAGGAGGCACATGTCAGGCATAGAGCATGAACACCCAATGATTCTTCCTTATTGTGAAGTGACTTTTGCCTCTATTCCATCTTTCTAAATTTTAAACTTATTTCAGTGGCAAACAGAAATATTCACTGCTCCACATTTACCCCCATATGGGTTATCAAAATGTATACCTCGGCTTCATTAAACATACTGTTATAATGGCCCTGGTTAATTTTTTCTTTGTGATTTTTTTTCTTCTTGCAATAAATCACTTAAAACAATCTCTTTATGTTATGTTTTAAAGCCTTACTCAACTTGTGAATATTTTAGTATATTGGTAAGAAACTTATCAGACTTGCAACATTGTCTCTCATATTCTTATAATCCATAACATCAGATCAGAGCACCAAACACTGGACAAGCAGTGGGGGAAAAGTGAAAAATCGAACTGTTGATTTTCTCTAGCGTGGACACTTGTGGAATGAGACTCTCCTTGGTGGATATTATCATTGTCTGTTTCCCATCATACTCTTGCCACCTTTGGCCAGCATGTAAACTCAAACTTACAACAAGCCTTTATAGAAGGGACAGCTTCATGAGGTATCTGGAGCAGTCAAAGATGCCTGTGGTCTGTGATCTACTCGCATGTTCAATTTCATTCTAGAAATAGAGAATAAAAATATGCAGTACTTAACCGTTGGAAAAGTTCGGTTATGTCATGCAACAACATAAAATCATATAATTAGAGTGTCACGTGTTGGCTGCAATGGTATATGACCACTATGTTGCCATCTGTAGCCCATTGCTTTTCAATGTCACCATGTCTTCTAGAGTCTGCTGCTGGATAGTAGTTGGGGTGTCCAGCATGGGGTTTATTGGTGCCACAGCTCACACAGTCTGCATGCTGAGAGTGATTTTCTGCAAGGCTGAAGTGATAAACCATTACTTCTGTGACCTTTTCCCACTATTGGAGCTCTCCTGCTCCAGCACTTTAATCAATGAGAGAGTGGTTCTGTGTTTAAGTGCTTTCAACATTCTCCTCCCAGCCTTGACCATTCTCAGTTCCTATATCTTCATCATCGCCAGCATCCTCCGCATTCGCTCTACTGCAGGCAAGTCCAAAGCTTTCAGCACCTGCAGCTCCCACCTCTCAGCAGTTGCTGTGTTCTTTGGTTCTGCTCCATTCATGTACCTGCAACCCTCATCAGTCAGCTCCATGAACCAAGCAAAACTGTCCTCTCTGTTTTATGCTACTCTTCTGCCTATCCTGAACCCCCTGATCTACAGCCTGAGGAATAAGGATGCAAAAGGTGCCTTAAAGAAATTCTTCCTAAAAATCAAGTTGAGAAAAACAATTTTTACTTTGGTAAATAGTCATAATTTCTTTTTTTTTTATTTAAAGAGAAAAAAAGAAAGGAAATAAAATTTTAAAAACAGCAGTAAAAGGGTACAAATAATACAGAATTTCAAGGAAAAATACAGGAAGATATCACTAGTTTATAGGTTACATATTGTCATCTTTGAAATAGTTGTCCAAATTATAAAATTAAAGCATGTAAAGTGAACATTCATACAATGAGATTGCAGACAGTGCCGTTCAATGATCCAACAAAAGTTCAGTAATATGGATTTCCATCCTACACCCTCAAACATACATGCAGTTATATCCCTTAGGCCACCTTCCTTTCCTCTTTTTTTTAACTAACAATTACACTTTTGGGGTTTTTTTACTTCCACAATTATTATTTTTTTGGAGAGAATAAAACCTAACGTGGCTAAACAAAATAGAGTCGGTTAGAACAAAAGGATGGGCATAGTACATGATGTAAAAATAGAATATCAGGTGATCTAAAATGGTTACCATTGTGCCTCTTGCTATTTTTTTAAAAAGTTGTTTACATTGTCAGTTATGATAGAATTGATCAAAACAGTACAGAACAAGACCAATAAAACCTACACTGGAGACCTTACAGGATTTCCAAAGTAGATAATAGTCAAACCATAATGGGCATCTTAGTGAATCTTATTGGCTTCCAAGTGGTTGCCTATACCCTCAAACTTGATACTATCAAACAAAATAGAATATAGTAAAATCTGACAGAACAAGATGGGGAGAGCAATACTGGGGATCATATCAGGTTAATAGGCAAACAAAAAAGTTACTATAATATATCTCGCTATTTTTAATTTGGTTTTCCCTTAATTGAAAAAAATGTAAGAAAAAAATAGATTAATTTTTTAAAAAAGCTGGCATTGAGGTAAAAGAAGACATTGTATTAGAACAACACAGGTCAGAACCCACACAATTTAAAGCATCATTGTGTTTCACCCCCAGATAATCTAACATAATAGTAGTCACCATAGTGCCTCCTTCCTTTAATTATTTGAGTATAACTTCATATACTACAGCATCAAGCATATCAAGTCAGTCCGCAGTTATTCAGGAAAATGAAGAAATTACAGGGTATTTAGAACCAGTTAACAGAAAATGACCAATGGTTTCTATATTATCTCTTTGCCTATAAAAAATTTTGTTTATACTATCGCATATAGTAAAATATAGTAAGATACCACATGTTGAAACCAGTGGAAACAGGTGTACAACAGCTTGATGGGACTTCAAAAAGATGTTATTAAATAAGTGCTAGCTTTTATGATGTGTTGGTTTTTTCAGAATAGCTATTCATACTATCACTGATACTAAAATCCAACAACCCAGGTTAAAACCATTGCCATTAATGAGTGATAACATTATATGAATTCAAACCAAACTGATTGGGAATCATGATTACCACATACTTTTATGTATTCTTATCATTTCTTTCTGAAGTTTTGGTTAGGAAACAAGGAAAGATGACACTGTATGTCCACAAGTCATGAGTTTCCTTCTGTTACTCACTTGTGCAAAACGTGTGATGGTACAAAGGTAAGACTGGATTGAGAGGCTTAGGCACTTGTGGAAAGAACAGTTGTGAGATGTTCCACAATTTTTCTGTACAAAATTATTTAAATAAACCCTACATCATATTTTAATATTATTTTTTATTTCTTTCATGTTTTAAAATAATTATCCATTACAATCAGAACCATCATGATTTTGGACATATATTTAAAAATGGAGTATATGTTTGTATATATCTATTCTTTTTATTTTTATTTATTAATATCTAACTACACAACCTTAAGTCCTTTAAATTCCTCCACATCACTGATTGTGCGAACATGCCTCTTTTAATGCAATACGTTATCTTTGCTTATTAAATAGATGTCTTATACTGTCAGTTTTTATGTTGTTAGGTTTTATACAAGTACATTTCCTAACATTTCTGAAGTAGTAATTTGTAAAAGAAATAATGTTTCCCTTTTGAATATATAAAATATTACTCCTCACTGAATGTGTAAAGCAGTATTAGGAGATATGTGGTCCTATGACACATAATAATTCAGTTCCTACCGACATAGGAATCCCAGTATATTTTAAGACACTAACTGTAGTAAAGACATGTGGCTATATTAGGTATATATTTAATTACATCTGGATGCCATTATTTTCTCTCTATCTGTGTAATGATGCTATTACTACTGTTTTCCAAGATGAACAATGCTGGAAGCCACAGAGTGTCTGATTTCAACACATTCAACCAAGCCATAGTAACTAAAACCTCAGGTGTTAGCACAAAATTATACTGTAGAACAATGGTGCAGAACACAGGACCTAGAAAAATATCCCCAGATTTTGAATTAATTTATTCTCAAGGAAGCTTCTAACTGTAGAAAGATCAGACAAATGATGTCAGGGTTAGTGACTCAAAAGATACATTTGGGTTGTTATCATCTGACATTATCAAAATTATTTTCCTTTCAGATCAACAAAGAAAAGTCTAAAATGCTGAACTCTCTGGGAATCACAAACAGTATGTCTGAATCCCATTTTGACTTTTAAAATTGCAGATTCTCTTTCCCCATTTCTTTCACAGTGTTAGCAGAGATGTAGCTGGCAACTGACCTGTCCCTCCAAGTCCTCATTCTGAGCACCACACTTCCTCATGAGGACAGATTCCACTATCATGCCTGATCTTCTACAGCATGTAATCATAGAAAACACTTCTCTTTTTTTAAGTTTACCAAGATCTTAAGGGCTTTAATCAGCCACTTGAGTCTATTAACTTATCTCTAAGCTTCTTCCAACAATTTTATCGAATGCATTGTTGAGACTTGCACTTTGTAGAACACTGTGCCAGCATTGCTTGGAGTTCACAAATCAGAGTGGTAGAAAAGCTAGTAAGTGACACACATCACACCAATCTAGCTGTGTGCCACATGTGATCATAAGGAACATGTCTGTGTGTAGAGAGAAAATGTTCCTGATAACCTGAATTCTTCCATCAGAGATCTTAACTGGAAATATTTCAGTACATAGGATTTTGTGGGAAAAGCTAGTATGAGACAGTAGAAACTACAGGAATATCTTAAGTTAAAATTCAGTGTCTACCAAATGTGCTTTTGTGGATCAGCTGTGTCACATGATCCTTATTGTCCCATAATGTTGAAAACTTTCTCTTCCACAGCCTGCATTGAACCCTCATTCTTCACCAGCACCAAAATTGCATTGCTCCTGTAGGACCTGCCTGTTTGTCTCATTGTCTGCTCTGCTTCCATGGCCCCTTCCAGTTTGTGAAATTCTACGGATTATGGATTCGACATTATTAATTTCTTTATTTTGAACCCCTTGATTAAACATGCCACTTATTATGTCACTGCTAAATTTGTTTTAATTCAGTATCTTCTATGGATTTATTTTTTTTTTTCTTAAGGATGATACTTGCACACCCTGAAAGTAGATCCTTGATGAAAATACTTTCATTCATGATTGATAATATGTGTATCTGAAAGATGAGAATAGTTATTAACATCCTGGGCCACATTTAAACTGAGGTGTTTGTGTTTTAAACAGTTAAACTGTCAGAAATTTTAAAGTGCAGTCTGAGTAGAAAAATTAAAATTTTAATTGTTTGTTTGTTTTTGTGTTGTTTTTATCATCTGCATGGAGGATTTTTAAAGCACAATTTTATAGTTTTTCCATGATGTAGTTTACTAATTTTAGGTTCTTCTTTGGGTATTTCATCTAAGAAAGTACTATCACATTCAAGGGTACACATACTGAGTTTTAAATTTTTTCTGATGCTTCCAGAGTGTTAAATCTTTATTTTATTTATATGACCCATTTTTTGTAAATTACTGGGAATGGTGTAAGAAAGAGTTCCAAATTAATTCCTATACCTATACTTACTTATTTTTCCATCTCAGCACCATTTGTTGAGAAAAAATCATTTCGCTGAGAGAAAATAATGTTCTCATTAAATTATCATTAAATACTTATAACAATTTATTTGACATGGATCTGAGTATTTTCCTAGCGGTCACCTCTGCTCCACTGATCAGGATGTGTATAGTTATAATGGTCTTACACTGTCTTGTTCACACGAAATTTGTAGTAAATATGTAGATAAGAAAATGTGACCTCATGTTTGATATTTATTTTACAAGTTTGCTTTGATTACTTTAGGATCCTTGTCTTTTAACTGAGATTTTCCGATCATCCTGTCAAGTCTACATATACCAGAGAGGAGGTTTTGATAGATATTATGCAGAATTTTTAGTCAATTTGGAAAGTATTTGCATTTTATCTGTGTTGATTCTTTTGATGTGTGAAGGGATACCTTCCCAAGTGTGAAAGACTTTAACACTGTTCAAAATGTTTTGTAATTATCTGTGTGACAGCTTCCATTTCTATTTTTAATTTACTCCAAAGTATCTCACAATTTCATGCTATTTGTAATGGATTTTTAAATTATTCATTATAAGTGTATAAACATACAATGGATTTTATTTCCCACCTTAGATTTTATCATGGTACTTAATTTAAGTTCCACTAGTCTTTTGACACAGATTCTGTCAGATTCGTTCCATGCAAAAATATGTCATTTAAATAGAAGAGAAAAATAATGAATTCTTGCTTTCCAATATGGACACCTTTCATTTTCTTGTAAGATTTTTCTATACAGGTTCCTTGATACACTGTGGAATGAAAATAAGAGGCAGATAACTTTATTATTTAGATTTGTAGGAGAAAATCTTTTGTCTTTCACCATAATGTGTGACAATGGGTTTGTGTGTGTGTGTATGTGTGTGTGTGTGTGTGTGTGTGTGTGTGTGTGTGTGTGTGTGTTTGTGTGTGTGTGTGTTGTGGATGCGACCTTAACCAAAAAAAAAAAAAAAAAAAAAAAAAAAAAAAAAAAAAGCATATTTTGGTCTCCAAAGGAGTTGAAATCACTGTGGCACTGTGGGCATGATCACCCTGATCAG